AAAAAAAAAAAAACAATAAAGAAAACGAAACAAAAAAAAAAAAGAGAAAGAGTCAGGGTCTAGTTGTAGATTGTGGCAATTGCACTTTTTATCTTTCAGTCGTAGTGGAAGCAAAAAAAATCTCAAATAATAAAGTGAAAAAAGAGCCCATCTCTACATCTGGTTTTCCCCAGACCAGGAACGCAACGTAGTTAACACACTTTCGAAAAGAAAGAAAGAAAAAAAAAAAAACATATACACACAAAACACAAAACACAAAATCAAAAAAAATTACACATGCCAGCGTTATCCGAGAGAGATTTATCCAGTGTTCAAAAACTATTTAATGCCATGCAGGCGGCGTTGAAGCTGACGGAGGGCCGCCGGTCCAACGCGGAGGTGGTGGCCGCGGAGGAGCAGCGGGTGTGGGCGGAGACGGCCAACGTCTTCTGGCGCATCGCCGGCCGCCAGCAGCTCCATCTCCTCTCGTTCCTCGCCGCCGATGCCGCCGCGGCCCTCACGCGCCTCTGCGACGGGCTGCTCGATTACATCCACGCGCGCTTTGCGGCCCTCGGCGGCAGCCCCGCGCCCGGCGCCCTCCTCCGCTGCGCCGTCGCCCTCGAGGTGGACCACGTGCTGCACCTCCTCGAGGCCTTCTGCTCCCGCCGCGACTGCGCCGCGATGCTCGGCGGCGACGCGAACAGAGACGGCCCGCGGCTGCACGGCCACGTCGTCACGGCACTCGTGCGCGGCCAACACTTCACGTGGATGACGCGGGTCTTCGCGGCCGCCTGCGATGAGGCACGACGCGCCGCGGACGCCAAGACACCCATCGCCACAGCAGCCGTCACCACCGCCACCGCCGTCCTGCGTGCACTCGGACGACTGCTGCTGCTCGATCAACACAATAAGGCTACAGTGAATAGTAATAATAACAATAATAGTAGTAATAGTAATACTACTATTACTACTACGACGACGACAATAATGACAACGACGACGACGACGGTGACGGCTGTAGGCATGGATGCATCCATTTCGACGGCAGCTATTGCTCTTGTTCGGGCAGAGCCGCGTCCACCCGCCGCTGCGCTTCTTCACGGTCTTAGACTTCGACTCGCCGCCGGTGCCCCTATTCGACCCATCAGACGTGATAGCAGTAGTGATAGTGGCAGTAGTACCGCAGCAACAAGTGCAGAGAATAAAATGCCCACCACAATGGCGAATCGGGCAGCCCTCGCACAGTATCTAGCCGCAGGAAGGACGAATATTTATGATATGCTCAACCGAGAAGCACTCACTATTGCCGTAGCCGCCGTAGAGTGGGCAGCGGCGTATGATAGTCCAGAAGTCGTTACAGCACTCTGTCTTATCATTGACCTTAGTTCACGTGCCGTAACGGCCACAGAGCCACAGCAACAACAAGAAAAAGAAAAAGAACATTCAAAAGAGAGTAAGGATAAACCAAAGGTTCCTTTATCTCTTCAGATTGCTATGTATGAAAATGTGCTTTTAGCATGGGATGCGCTTTGTAAGTTACTTCGATCCAATATTGAGGGAGAGTCATCTGCTGAAATCACCCTTCATCGAGAGACTATATTACAACAATTTCTTAAAAATGATTTAGTAAACTGTGTACGACGAATGATGCAGCATTGTACATCTATTATCGACTGCGAAACTATCTTTTTTAGAAAACTAATAACTCTTTGTACACCACCTCAGTGTAGTAGTAGTAGTAGTAATAATAAAGCTGCATTGACGTCATTTGCAGAAAATTCAGCAAATCGAACTATAGGTGGTAGTGATGCCCCTAACAGTAGTATTTGTACTCCTCTTGGGACTAAGAGTCCTCTTCTTAGTAGTGGTTTAAGTATGACACGACCACCCACAATGGAAACAAATGTTCAACCTTCTTTTAGTAACAGTACTGCTCATAGTAATAAGTCACTTTGGTTAAGTTTTTGGCCAGGAGCTTCTCGTAGTTCTGCAACCCATCCTCCTGTTCCTCCATCTTCTACATCCCATTCCGTTACCGCTACACCTACGGCTACTGTTCCAGTAATAAATGCAGTTGTACGATCAACAAATGTTGAAGATGATGTTTATTCACCATTACCGCGTGTTTTAAGTGATTCTGTAGTTATTGATCTTGATACTCCAACTACAACGTTAGAAATGGATGGAATGTGGTGGTATAATAATGAGTTGTATATAAAACTTGTTCATGGATTAGTTCAGGTTCTTTGTGATGTCTTTACAGATAATACGATGCCACTTTCTTTACGGCTTTCAACCTGTGTAACTCTTGTACGAATTACTATGCATAGTAATATTGCTTTTTCAAAATTAGAAGGACGTATTGTTGTACGTTTATTTCTTAATTTTTTGAGAGAACAAGAGAAACGATTACGATTACGGTCTATAGCATCATCTGAGATTCCTCTTTCCGATAAAGAGGAATTTTTACAAACAGTCTCTGATACTTCCATTACTCCAAGTAATGAAGATAGCACTCATGATTGTACAGAGGATGATATTATGTATGCTGCTCTTGCAAATCAAATAATTTCAGCACTTTGGCGAGTATATCATGAATTAAATGAACCACCTTTATCAAGTGAAGTTGTAGATTTAGTAGAATTACCATTGCTTATGCTTTTATGGGAAAAATATGGATATATTGGGGATTCTATTCTTTCAGGAGAAGAAGTAAAACGTAGTCTTAAATCTCTCTTTGCACCGGTTGTTCAACTTTGGTATACTGCTTTGGAATGTTTTGATGATGAGGATATTAACATAAGATCACATGAAGTATTAATGGAGTTATTAACAAAATTACTAAGTATGGGAGTTATGCCTGTTACGGAAATGCGATTATTAGATACAGATGATGGTACTCCACTCACCGCTTCTGTAAATGCGATGGCCACTAATTATATCTCAACTAATAAGACGATGAACACTACCAATGTCAATATAAATACAGCTGCTCCTAATTCTTTTTGTGGAAGTGGAGTAGGAGGAGTAGTTTGTATGGATTCCGTTCTTGCCATGGAATCCGATAATGAAAGTTCTTTATCATTAAAACTTGAGGCTCCACATGTTGAAATGGGAGATACTGTAAATGCTTTGAGTAATATATTTACAGCTCTTTTGGAACGGAATATACATTTTCTCTCTGTACAAATGTTAGAAAAACTATTTGCCCTTTTATGGGCTTCAGATGTGCGATTATCTAAACTAGGACGAAAATATATTGCCAGTAGTCTTGAGTTTAGTGAAGTATATGCATTATATGCAGAAGTGATACAAAATGGAGAAGTTTCTTTATTAATACAACTACTTCAACTCTTTTCAGCGGAATTATCATCTAATAAATTAACATCTGAGGCAAAACATGAAAGACGTGTTTGGTTATTTCAGTATGGATTTATTAATGCCGTTATTTCTGTACTTGAACGTGTACTCCTTACCCCACATCAAGTAAATGGATTTCCTCGTCTTATTCAACAAATTTTTCGTTTTCTTTCTGTATTCGAATCTGCACAGGGACAAGGACCTCAATTGTTGGATACACGTCTTATTGAAGTCTTCTCAGAGAGAATTGTTTCTGTGGAAGGGGCAGAGTATTTTATTCTTATTGCACAAGCAGTATTAGATGCGGCAACATGTAAGTATGATAACATTAGAAGTCATTCACGTCGTTTACAGAAATATGGACATTTTGGTATTCCTCTTCCAAACTGTTCTGTAGAGAAACCGGTATTTATTAATCTTATTCCGTCTTTACTACGACATGCAAGTGAACATGCGGCAGATTTGGAAAATAATCTCCTTGCCGTTACACATATGATGTTAAAAACAACAACTAAAGTTCATTCTGATTTACTTTTACAATGGGTTTTAGAAACCAAACAAACTTTACTATTACCTTATTTAGAAGTAGATGCTGCTTTTGTAAATAAGCAATTACCCTATTTGGGTAAAAAAGAAGAAGTTGAACCTTTTTGGGCACCTATTTTAAAAGAAGCTCCTGAACGTAGTGAATTACGATTTAATTCTACAGGTGGAATTATTATTACAATGGGAGAATGGCCAGAAAAGGGTTTTTCTATTTCTGCTTACTTTAGATTTGAAGAGATTTATAGTAATATGTGTCTCTTTGAATTTATTGAAACGGATGTCGTTACCACACCTTCTCCAGCTTCTATTAATGTTGTGGGAGGTGATAGTGTACAGGTATTGTATGATGGAAAGAAAATTCCTGTAAATGAAAGTCAAGCCCTACAAGATCTCACTCCACGTCGATGGGTTCAAGTTCTTGTTGTGATGAGTGTCGCTCGCACCGTTAGTGTTTATCTAAATGCCAATAAAATTGGAACATGTACACTTCCATATTTCCGTCCACACTCTGAGGTGAGTATTCATATTGGATTTGTAGATACTATTGTGTATGATGCTCTCTTTTCTATTGGAGATGTTATCTTGTGGGATGATGAATTAACAACTCCGCAGGTGGAAGCCTCACTTGCAATGACACGATATCAACCAAATATTTGTAAAATGTTAGTTCAAGAAGTTCCACGGGAGTTATCTGAAATTCATAATGTGGTAGAGCCAATAACAGATCGTATTGCCATTTTCACTCCATATGAAAATAGAGATATGATGTTATTAAATACACAGCAAATAGCACAGGAGAGGTATCCTGTAATAGCGAAATTAACTGGAAATTATGCTACTCCACCAAAGAATTGGATAGACTATCGAATGCTTTTCTTAAGTCGAGGAGGTCTTTCACATTTATTAGATTGGATTGGACAATCCACTACAGAAGAGGAATTACGACAATATACTTCTATTACATGTAATTGTATTCGAAATATCACTAATAATAGTACAATGAATAATCGAACGTATATATTATTAAATTTTCATCTACGTCGACTTGCACATCTAATTACACCTGCTGTTTGTGATAGTTTACTTTATCTAACAACTCGACAAATACATATTGATGATGGAACTCATCCTTTTATTATTAATCGTCTTGCATTTGATTATATTTTACGAGATGTTGAACTTCTTGCGATGATGCCTATTTCATGTGCTTTATATATAACAGAACGAATAGAAAAATTATTTACAGTTCTTTCTTGTCGTTATGCTAAACGAAATGCAAATTATATTATTCCATTTCGTTTTGTGGATAGTGTTTTGAATAGTCTTGTGTATGGAGGAATATCGATTCCTTTTATGTTGCGATCTCGTCTCATCTCTTGTGTGAAACAAGTGATGATTGCTTGTGATTTTGAACCCAATATTATCAATGCAGTGGCCTCAACAGCTGCCATCCTCACACCTGCAGAAATTCCTGTTGGAATGAAATCTCAACAATCTCAACAATTACAACAATTAAAATCACCTTCTCATCCACTTGTATTACCGAGAGCCCGTTTTTCACAAGTTCGAGTTTCTCTTCGTAGTGCCTGTGATGTAACCCTTATGATTCTTCGTAGTCTGTTGGAGTGTAGTAGTAATGGTAGTAGTGTTTTTATGACTGCCTTTGCTCGTATTATTGATCTTAACTGGTTTGCGGTGTGTGTTTCCCGCTTTGCAGATGATTCCTGTGTTGTTTACGCCACTCGATTGTTTTTTGAGGCTATTCATTATAATGTGGATCTGCGTAGTGAAGTTCTTCAATGTCCTGCTGCAGTGGTAGCGGTTCTTTCTTCACATTGTCGGAATGAAGATTTAATGCTGTTATTATTAGCGCTTAGTATTGGGGCAGATAAACATATTGATGTACTTTCATCTAAACAATCTCTACTTGAACAGTTGGATGGGATATTAAATTCTATTATACCAGAGTTAGATGCTATTGTAGCTCCCATATTTTCTAAACTTCTCACATTACATTTAAATGCCACGTTAATCACACCTTCCTGTTTTAAACCATTTGGAATTACATCTGTTATGCAGAGATGTAAATATTATTCCTATCGTCTATACAAATACTTTAGTTTGGCACGAGTCTGTAGTCGATTAATGCTTCACATTAACATTAAACGACTTTTAAAAGAAAAGACACAAATGGGAATAACATTTCATAAAGAGGAAGGTGAAGAAATTACACTCTCATCAACATCTTCATCACCATATCATCATCATCATAATGATAGTCATCATCCCTCTTCAATGTGTTCACATTGGCATAAACCAGTTTTCTCACTATTACGTGTATGTATAATTCTCTATCGTGGAATTCAACGAAAACGATACCGAAAACTACTCTTACATTTCTCCAATCACACAGCAGAACCATTAGCGATGGAAACAGAAGTACGTGGAACCTTTTTTGTGCTTCGCACACTTCAACAACTCTCCTGTAATCCAAGTCTCTTTGTTTCTCTCACGTTATCTCCATATCAAATATCGGCTTTGGCGGTGTTTGGTACTTTTCTCAAACGACATGTAGTGGCGGCGAAATCAGCGGAACTGCAAGACGCCGTCAGTAGTGAAGTCCGCAAAGTAGAGAAGAGAGAAGAGTCAAACACAATGAGTGGGAGTGGTAGTGGTGTGAAGGGAATAAGTAAATCAACAGGTGAAGGTTCACCTATAAAGGGAGAAAAAGATAAAGAAAAAGAGAAAGAAGAAGAAGAAGAAGAAGAAGGACAACAACAACGATTAAAGTTACGAACATCTAAAGAAGAATCTACAGCACGTGAAGAGAAGGAAAGTTCAACAACTCCATTGGATGTGAGTGAGGATGGGAATGATCCTTTAGAGAGTACCGGATATGGTAAAAAAAGTAGTATCTCAGATGATGAGGATGAGGATGAGGAGGATAGTAATAATAATAATGTTAACATTGGTGAAGATGCCCGTGATGAATGTGAAGAGAGTGAACATGGCGATGATAATATCTCTGATGTAACGGAGCCACTTGCGAACACAGTTGGATTATTAGATGTTTCCGCCGATAGTGAAGAACAACAGAAAATACGTGAACAACTCGCCGCCAAGTTAACATTAGCATCTATGGAAGAATTAGATATTACGGCATCTTCAGTATCAGAGGCATTAGGGAGTTGTGCGGTGGAAGTCCTGCGAAGTACAATCATTGCTTCCTTACATACATTGCCAGTCACATCTGGTTGGGTGGGTGGACAAACATATGGTTCTTGTGGAGGTATGTTATTTCAACTCATGTTAGTAATGGGAATAACATCTACTACAGAAGAGGGAACATTTACACTTACACAATTCTTTATTCAACAAGTACTGCAGTGTTTGGAAATGCATGATCAATCGCTTCATGCACCGAAATATATAGTGACTGGAAAAGAAATGATGAGTGGTGGTGGTGGTGGTAATAGTAATACGAATACGAGTAATATGAATACTACTACTACTACTACTAATAATAATAATAATACTAATAATATGCATATGAGTAGTGATTATCCTTATTCTTATTATCAACCACAACAACAACAACAACAACAACATCATCATCATTACTATGATCATTCGACACTAACGCATGATACCTCTTCATTGGATGTCTTCTTTTTTAACGTTTGTCGTTTTAATGATCTCCTTGTAGATCTTCTCTCTTTCAATGTGTTGGAACTTTCAAATCTTTCTCCATACTTTATTTCTCTCTTAACACGAGCTCCATCTCTCTGGCCTCGCCGTTCTCTCCAACAACTACGTTCACAAGTTGTAAAGAGTTGTATTGCCGTATTAAACAAACCATCTGTACAAGGCATCACTGCAGATCAAATGGAACTTGTTTATATGTTACTTTCATGTGTATTATCACCGGAGTGGATTATGAAAGATATGCTGGAATGTCTCTTACGCGTTTTATTTCGAGTTTATGCGTCTATTCCCCCAAGTAGTATGAATGAAGAAGAGATTTCGAGGAGAAAGTATACCGTGATTATGTCTTTACGTCTAATGATACGTACTTATAGAGGAACTCGTGAATTGCGAAAGGCCCTTTCCGCACGTACACTCACTCAACGTTTTTCTCTTTACGATGAATTTACTATTTCTCTTCTTGTACATAATGAAACCATTGCGGTAAATACATTTGATTCTTTTTGTAGAGATAATATGACTACAGTGGATACATTAATGTCTGGACGGCCTAAAACTAAAGCGGATTTGGCGTTAAAATCACTTTTAAAAGAACGTAGTGAATATATTAATAGAATTAAAATATTTAATGAAGCCTATACGAAAACGACAGAAATACCAGAAAAATATCAAAATTCAGAACTTATTCGTTCTTATATGGCTCAATTCTCATCTCAAGTAGGACATATCTCACCATTACAACAATCTCAATTACATTGGTTATCCATACAATGTTGTTCCTTTGAAAATAAAGACTCTTCTGTACGTTTATTATATTATTTGGATACTCGTGGAAATTATACAAAAGTAACCTCCGCTAAATCTTCAGGTGAAACAGAAGTAAATGTATTTTCTGCAGATACATGTGAACAACAATTAAATCATATTTCAGCTCTTGTTCAGCCTTTTGCTATTCGATGTCGACCTTTTCTTTTACATGATCGAGTTACTTTTGTAGATAGACGATGTACACTTACGAACTCTGCAGTAAGTTTACTTCGCTATTTATTAGAACCGAATGAAGTATTACGTTTTATTAGTAATGGTTTTCGAATTAATGGTATTCACGCTACACCTTGTCTTATTATATTAACAAACATTGCATTGAAACTTATTGGATTTTCTCATATTACAGAAGCAGGAGATATTTTTCTCTGTAATTGTGGACAAGGTGAGGAGGAAGAACTCAGTTACGCTTTTGGTACTAATATGATTCAGCAAGCTAAACGAAAAAGACTTCCACAACATCAAACAGCATATAGTTTTGCTATTTCTATGCGAAATAAACTACAACGTTTTCTTACAGATGTGAGTAGTGATAAAAAAAAACGTGAAAAAGAAGAACGAAAAGATGGAACCAAAGTAGCTCAATCCGTCAGACAAGCAACTGGACACTCTTGTAGAGATTTATTCTGGGTTTATCCATTACGTAATGTGAGAAGTGTACGTATGGCTTATTATATGCATCAAGATACGGCTATTTTACTTGAGTTTATGTATGATGATGGTTTACTACTTTCTATTGTAGATACCCAGCAATCTATGAATACACGTGCACGAGATGTATTTCTAAATATGTTAAAAGAAGTTTTAGGAACTCAACGGTGTGAATTTCGTGAACATTCTCAACGTAGTGCCACACTTCGATCTATGCTTATTCGTTGGGCAACAGGTTCTCTCTCTACATTTGATTATATACGAATGCTTAATCGTGTCGCTGGTCGTACGAGATTAGATTATAATCAATACCCGGTCTATCCTTGGATATTGGCTGATTACAAATCAACAGAACTCGCCCTGGACTCTCCTGCATCTTATCGGGATTTATCACTTCCAATGGGTGCCCAAACAGAAACAAGACGTCAAGCGGTATCACGTGTGTATGAACAAATGGTAGAAATGCGAGATGCGGATGAGAATGTAAAAGATCATCAACCATTTCATCATGGTACACATTATTCCACAAGTGGTGGAGTACTTCATTATCTTATTCGTGTGGAACCATACACAACATTTGCTCGTATCTTTCAAGGTGGTGAGTTTGATGTTGCTACTCGATTATTTGATTCTATTGAGGCTTCTTTTCAATCGTGTGTAAATGGACCAGCAGATTGTAAAGAATTAACACCAGAGTTTTTCTTTGATGGTATGTTTCTTGTTAATGTGAATCACTGTGATTTTGGTGAAAGATCAGATGGAAGTATTGTAAATGATGTAAAGCTTCCACCTTGGGCAAAAGGATCAACTCAAGTATTTACGGCTATTATGCGATATACATTAGAGAGTAGGGCTGTGGTAAGTAATATCCATCGTTGGATTGATCTTATCTTTGGTGTTCGAAGACGTGGGAAATTGGCTCTTGAACGGTATAATGTCTTTCAATGTATGACGTATGGAGAAGAAGTACTTCGGGCATTAAAAGAAAGTCATAATCCTCATGATATTGATGTTATTATTGCAGAGGTGGATAATTTTGGACAAACACCAACACAATTATTTCAAGAACGTCATCCTGCTCAACAAGAGTTAGAACCAGCAGATGCATCTCGTCGAAGTAGTTTGGCTGGTCTCGGTATTCTTAGTGGTAGTAATTTTGGATCTATCGCAGGTGGTTCTCTCACCATTAGTACAGTTGGTAGTAATAGTAGTATTACTGGTTTTGGTAGTAATAGTAGTATTACTGGTTTTGGTAATAATAGTATTGGTACTACTAACACTAATATTACTACTACTACTACTACTGCTGGTGTTGGTGGTGCTACTAATACTACTACTACTGCTAATAATAATAATAATACTAATAGTAATAGTAATAATACTGGTGGGAGTAGTGGAGTACGTGCTGGATATACATATACGAATGCTTTTCATGAACAGTCTCCTAAAGTATGTTCTATGCTTTTTCATGCACTAGATTCACCAAATGCATGGTATTCATTAGATGATCCCGCACCAGGAACTTTTCAAACACCTCCTGCATATCTTGCAGATATATTTCATCTTCATGAAATGGCAGTAGTGGATTTTGTTACTATGCGAGGTGGGGCAAAAATGTCTTGTTATAAATATTTTACACCTGTAGATGATACAGAAGAAATAATTTGCTGGAATTCTGGTGAAAATCTTCTTATGCGGTTTGATCTTAATGATGGAAGATTTCTATCTACACTACGTTTTAAATTAGCTATGAATGCACCTGTAAGTGTTAGCATGATTCGAGCTAGTTGTAGAGAATCTCTTATCTTAATTGGATCTAATAGTGGTACTATATCATGTCTTAGTCCTAATGCAGATAATGATTTAGTTTTATTAAGTGCAACTCTTTGTCATCATGAGAATCCCATTGCGGGATTTGCATTAGATACTCATTATGGTCGTGTTATTAGTTTTACTACAAGTGGTACAGACTTCCCTATTGTATGGTGTATTCAACGTCTCTCTACTGTAAAATTACACCGTCTGGATATCTCTCGAGTACTTCCCAATGCCACAGTTGGTGATCGTATTGTAGTAGCAGCCGCTATTGATCCCCGAACGGCCCATTCCATTATTATCACTAGACGTCATCTCATCATATTTGATCAACACGGTGAACCCTACGGTGTTGGCTCTCTTCCCACGGCAGATGATAATATACCGCACTTGGAGGATGAAGCCGGACAAGTGGGAGTGGCGGTTGATACGGCTCTTCGCTTTGTGGCCAGCATGACCGCAGTGACGACGTACGATACGCTCGAGTGGTCTGCCGGTGTTCTTTTGTTAATCACCGGCCATCAGGACGGCAGTTTGTCGCTGTGGCGGGCGGTGCGGCTCCCACCAGAGAAGGTCCAACACGGCCGCGTGGTGTTGATTGAACATCACAGTGTTATTGTGCGGGGAGGGGAGAACCCGCGGTGTGGGGCAGTGACGGCGATCCGGCAGCAGGAGCGGGACGTGCCGGTCTTTCTCGTCGGTTATCACAGCGGGGGAGTGAAGGTGTTGAGCTTTGAGAATAGAGGAACGGAAACCACAAAGACGAGCAAAACGTAAAGGGGGGGGTGCTGTGGTGTCTTTTATTATTATGATTGTTATTGCTGTTGGTATTATTATTATTATTATTATTGTTGTTGTTGTTGTTGTTGTTGTTTTGTATTCTTTCCATGTTGCGATTCTTGTTTCGTATGCATACAAGAGAATGAACGGAGAGGGGAAAAAGAAAAGAAAAAAAAAATATATATATATATATCTTTGCAGATTTTCCTTCTCAAGTCCGAGTACTTTTTGCTTTTGTTTCTTATCTTTAATGGGTAGTGCTTGTTTCCTTTTTCTCTTCTCGTTGTTATTGTGAATGTTTTGTTTTGTTTTCTTTATTGTAGTACCATCTTGTTCTCAATGTTTCAGTAAATTTCCTTTTTCTTTCTCTTGTTTTTTTTTTCTTGTTTTTTTTCTGCAAAAGGTTCTCATTAGTGAAGTACATAGAGTAGTGTTGAGAGGTGGTGTCTCTGTAACATCATCTCTCAGTACAAGTGAGAAAAAGATAGGGAAAAGCAAAGAAAAGGTATACACTATCACAACCAAAGAAGAATAAAAGAAAAAAAAAATCAAAAATATAATCACAAAACAAAACAAACAGTGGGGGGTTTGAACTCAACAATGACAGACGATATAAAACAACACAACGGCAATAACAAGAATAGCAATATGGAGTCTTTCTGTATCATTTTGGTAGAACCTGAGGCCGTAGAGCTTGGGAATTGGGTGCGGGAAGTTGTGTTGGAGTGCCTAACACCACCAGTGCAGCGTACAGTACTGTTGAATGTTGGTGTAGCAAGTGATGATGATGCTCGATTTCACACTGCCGCTATGCGTGCACTAGAGGAGGTAATGACAGAGAAGAATAAGAATACACCCTGTAGTAGTACCAATAATAATAGTAATAATAATAGTGATAATAACAATCATGACAAGAATGATAAGAGCGATACCAACAAGGATAAGGAGAGTGGAATGGGTGGAGGTAATGATGACGAAAGGGTTGAAGTAAAAGGAAAGAAGGAGTTGGTCTTTCTTATTATTGCAATTTTTTGGGATGGCCAATCTGAAGGTGTGAAGACTGATTTTATTCGTCTTCGACAATTTCTGGATGAAATGAAGAATGGAAATAGTAATATCAATACGAATGTGGATAGTAAAAATAGTGATGACAATAGGAATAAATTCAAGTTTATGCGACCAGGTGAGGCTCAGTTTGTTGTACAGGCACTTAATGCTAAAAAAGGTTTTCACACATTAAAGGAGAACCGTGATGCGTTGGTAAGCACTCTTCGCAAAAAAATCCCAAGTAATACAGATGGTAATAATAATAATAATAATAATAATAATAATAATAATACCGTACAACATAAGGATCCATGTGATAGTCGTTCAATAGCGAATGAACACAACAATACCACTAGCACTAAATCAAGAAAAACAACATCCCCAACTACTTCTCCCACTTTATCAGCATTAGGTGATGTAAAACCTGGTAGTGGTAGTAACAACAAAACTTGTGATATTGGTGTAGAAGATCTTAGTGAGGAAGCTATTTCAGCTGGTATAGAAGCAGGACAGGGAGAATGTTTTTTGGTTGTTTCTGCACATACTATGGATGAATTTCAGGAGCGTGTGAAGCAATTAAAAGATTCTGCAAAGAAATTGGATGTTGGTTGTACACCTGTTGTACCCGAACCACGTGAAGTTCAAGGTAGTGATAAAGTAGGTGCTATCGCCCAAGAGTTTCTGTTACGTCAAAGTCCATCATCTGGACAGATTGAACTACGTATCGCTATGTGTGGTAATGTGGATAGTGGGAAATCTACACTTACAGCTGTGTTAACACGTGGTTGTCGTGATGATGGCAGAGGTTTTGCCCGTGCGTTTGTTTTTCGACACAAACATGAAGCAGCCACTGGACGTACTTCGAGCATCAGTGAAAATCATCTCTGCTTTTCTTCCACAGGTGAGGTGGTAAACTACACAGTGTTTACTGCAAAACGAGGTATGAGTGGTATTCCTAGTGATAATACTTCTACTACTACTACTAATAATAATAATAATGTTGGAGTTAGTAATATGGGTGGTGGTGGTGGTGGTAGTAGTAGTGCTTCACGAGCCCAAATTGCGCAAGAATTAATGTCACGTAGTTCCAAAGTACTCACTTTATATGATCTTGCTGGTCATGAACGTTATCTTAAGACTACTGTACTTGGAATGACCCGCAATCTACCGGATTATGCATGTATTGTGGTCAGTGCCAACAATGGTGTGCAGCGCATGACGAAAGAACACCTTGCCCTCTGTGTTGCACTTAAACTTCCTTTTTTTCTTGTCGTCACCCGCATTGACAGCACCCCTGCACATGTGCTCGACTCCACCATGTCGACTCTCCATCAATTACTACGACTCCCTACGGTTCGCCGCCTCCCACATGTTGTGCGCGGCGAGGATGATGTGGTGCTCGCCGCCCGGCATCTCCGGCATCTCCGCATGGCGCCCATCTTTCCGCTCAGCAGCGTCACCGGTGATGGTCTCGCCGGCCTCACGCGGTTTCTCAATCTTCTCCCGCTCCGCCGCGACTGGCGGGCCGCCCGCAGTGCCCCGCGCGAGATGCTCATCGACAACGCCTTTCAGGTGCCGGGCGTCGGCGTCGTTGTTGGCGGCGTCGTCACTCAAGGCGTCTTCCGCGCGGACGACAAGGCGCTGCTCGGCCCCGACGCCCGCGGCGCCTATCGGCCGGTCCGCATTAAATCCGTGCATGTGCGGGGCGTCCCGGCAGAAGAGGCCCCGGCGGGATGTGATGCCGCGTTGTGTCTACGCAGAGAGACCGCACATAAAGGCGACATCTGGCGTATTCGACCAGGATCCATGCTGCTGGATATACACGCCGCAACACCAGAGGCCTATTGGCAGGTGGACGCCGATATCACAGTGCTCTATCACGCCACCACCATCGCCGCAAATTATGAACCCGTCGTGCATGCAACCACCGTGCGGCAGTCCGCTCGTATTGTTTACGTGGCGCAGGAAGTACTCCGCACAGGCGATCGCTCTCTCGTGCGATTTCACTTTCTCTACAGGCCAGAGTTTATGAAGGTGGGACAGCAGATTGTATTTCGTGAGGGACGCACAAAGGGTATTGGAGTCGTTAAGAACCTCATCGTTGAACGGGATGAGTCCATCTTTGCAAAGAGACAGAAAAACCGACGATAGTGCGATAGCTGGGTTTAAAAAAAAAAAAAAGGGAGATTGACTGAGATAAATGAGAGATATTCCTATGGGGAATAAATAAATAATATGATTCTTTATCTACATGGGGACCATACTATAAATGGAGTAGGGAAGAGTAATGAAAGAGAGAAGCACTTAATGAAAAAGGTGAGAAGAAGGAAAAAAAAACATGAAAGAATCGATGCCCTTTTGGGGCTATTGAGGAATAGTTCTTTTTTTTTTTTTATGGTGTGTGCGTATGTGTGAAGTATCTATTATTTTCTTACTTCCTGTACTACAGAGATTTGAATGTGTTTGTATATATATATATATATATATACACATAGATATAGTATTCTTTATTTTTTCTTTGTTTTCTGTTGTTTTTCTCATTCTTTATTTTATACAAAACAAAAGGAAAAAAAAAAAGAGCAACTTAATAAAGTGCTGTACACACGACACACAGTATGTCTTCTTCCAAGTACATGTCTGCTGGAAAGATCTTGGCCCCTTTCTGTAAGGTTGCCTGCAAAATTGAGAAACGCTCGGCTACCAAACTCACAGCTGTGGATGCTGCGATTGCCAAAACTATTGCAGATCACAATGCGAATGGAACCGATGCCGCTGTGAGCAGCACGAAGCGATATGTACATGAGCAGAAGCAACTCTTACACTATCGTGTGGTGCGTTTCTTTGATGAGTGCCGTTATCTTGCCTCTGGTGAGTACTTCCGCACCTACAGCATGACCAACTTTATTTGGGACATGCGCTTTTTTACCAAGGTGCTGCTCTTATTCATTCTTGGGACGCTGTTTGGTCGTCAGAGTATCTTCCCGCCTATCGACCCCGACTCGCCGCTTGTGCTAGCGCTGGAAACAAAGGTTAATCCTAACTACTAAACATCTTTTTTTTTTTTTGTAGCAACAGAAACACGGGAATCAGAAAGAGCAATAATGAAAACAATAGGTAGTAGTAGTAATAGTAGTAGAATGACTCTAGAGAAGGAAGAGGGAATATGGGGGATGGAGTAAAAATGAGGAGGAATAAAATAATGTTGAAGAGTGAATTTCAGGTTTAATCTCTCCTTATGTTTTTCCATCTCTTGAAACCTTTTTTTTTTAATTTATTTTTGTTCATTCTCTTTATTGGTATTACTCTGTTGTTATTTAATCTTTACTGATCTCCATGCTTCACTTGTAGTAGATAGTAATGAAGGAGGTTGCGCATATTTATATATATATATATATAAAAAGAAAAAATGATTTTATGAGTGAAAAAGAAGAGAGAGAGAGAGAGAGAGAGAGAGAGAGGGTAGTGAGAAAGAAATTGGACTTGACGCAACATTTGTTCAAACATACATATATTTCCCTTTTTGTTTTTTTCGTTCTCTATGTGATGTTTGTGTTGCGTTATGTTTATTTATTTTGTTGTTGTTGGTGATGGTGGTGTTTCGGCTGGTACATTGAATCTAGGAAACAGTGAGAGAAGAAAATTTTAGAGGAATTCAGAAACACATATTTAAAGAGGAACAAATACATTAGACCAAGTCATATACTCTTATATTATTATTGTTATTATTCTCTTTATTATTTGTTGATACTACTGTTGATGTTGACTCATTATCAACAATAATGATAACAATGGAAGTAAATATATAATAGTAAAAGAAAATAGGGAAAGCTAGGCATTTCCACTTTTTTTTATGTCTCTCTGTGTGTGTATGTATGTGTCTTGTATTTATGATGTGTTTGTTTGTTTCTGTATTTGAATGTTTGACTGTGTGTGGAAGGTGAAGAAGAAATGATAGATGGAAAGAGAATAATGTGTAGTTTAGAAAGGAAAGGAAAAGAGACAAAAAAAAGGATGTTTCTCTTTTGTTTTTTCTTTGCATACAAACATATGTACGTAGCGTGTGTTCTTGTTTGTTTGCTCTCTAAGCTACACGTCACACTCTTTACAGCGATTATTTCTTTTATTGACTTCTCTTCTCTTGTTGAGTCTCGCGTTATTTTCTTTTTTTTATCTTTTACTTTGTATACTTCTCTTTCACTGGATCTTTGTATGTGTTATTCGTTTACCTTTCTCCTTCTTCTTTCTGTTAATATACACTTTTTCTCTCTCTCTCTCTCTCTCTCTCTCTCTCTCTCTCTATTTCTCTTTTATTTATTGGACTCTCCTGTATATGAACACACACACATATATACATGTAAAAGGCTCTTTTTCTCTCTCAATCTGAGTACTTCTGCTTTTACACGTCTTTCCCAGAGAGGTTAGCACTGTTGTAGTGTTTAGACATTCTCTGATTGTTAGAGTGTACACGAAAAGAGAAAAAAAAAGGAAAAGAAAAGAAAAAAAGGAGAGAAAAGAAAAAAAAAAAAGAAAGGAAAACCAACGAGGCGGCAGAAGAAAAATAAACATATAATCAGGTGAAAGAGAAGTTAAGGGTGGCCAGAGAGGAAAAACAAAAAAAAAAAAAGGAAAGAAGAGCGAAGCGATTCAAGAGGAGTAAAGTAAGAAAAGAGAAAAAGAAAAAAAAAAAAAAAAAGCACTCACATCTATATTATATATATATATTATATTATATATATATATAATGACCTCACGTTCTGTATATGAGGCGTTTGATCGTGTGTGGGTGAAGATGGAAGGCTACGACTGGTGGCCGGCCCGCATTGTGAGTGATGAGGAACTAGACGCCAGTGCCCAGACCCGCCCAGACGGCTGTGATATCACTGTTCTCTTCTACGAAGGCACCGCAACCCCCGCGAGTCTCGAGCACTTTGACAGCGCCACGGCGAACATTACATTCTTCGAAACTTCTTCAGAGAAGGCCGTCACGGCGGATGCCGATCGACTCGCGGCGATTCGACGAGCCGAAACAGATGAAACGGCGAATCCTCTCAAATATAATTTTTCCACAAGTGAACGGGCGGGAATGACAAGTGCAGAGACGGGAACAGCAGCCGCATTAGGTGGTTCAACATCCACACGACGAAGTGCGGGGGGTTCTACACAAAAACAAATGCAACGACCGGTGAGTAAACGCAGTCGTGAAGTGGATTTGGAGGATAAACATACCGGCGTCCCATCATTACAACTTTTACCAGATGAGAAACTCATTGATATTGCAGAACACATTCAATCCGCAGTGGAGGCGAATGATTTACCATCATTACGTATTGAACTCTGTGATCTTGACAACGTCAGCGTTACGGTTCGTCAACTGGAGAGCACAAAGATTGGAGTGGCGGTGGGAAGTATTCTTGGACGGCGGGAATTGGAAAAGATGTGGCCCTTAGCACGTGCCATTATCTCCTCCTGGGCCCGGGCATTGCCTGTTGAAACTATAGAAGCCATTAAACGGCACCAACAGTACCGTCTTGGTAGGCGACAGGATGCTGCCAATAATGCGGCAACCATGGAAGAAGATATTGGGAGTCCTGTACAGGCAGGCGCCCCATCATTTGTGAACTATTCTACTACTACTACTGCTACTACTACTACAGCAACAACAAATACTACTACGACTACAGCACAAACGAATGAAGAACCTGTACGAGGTCGCTTTGTACATCGTATTCGAAAGCTGCTGGACAATCCAACAGACCCGTCCATTCCAAATGTCACCTCAGCTGACTTGGATGCTGTGGCGGAGGAACTTTGTCGTGATGTGGTGGAGCCGGAGGACCGTAAACATCTGCAGATGCAATTGGAGAAGCCTGGAATGGTCCAGCTGCGGCGGGATTTGGCTACACGCACATTAACTGGAAAAGAATTTCTGAAACTTCCACGTTCTGCACTCATGACAGAAGAAGAGAAACGCAAGGAGGAGGCTCGTATTACAAAAATGATTGAAGATCAAGAGAAGGTGAAATTGGCAAATGTGGCCATTACAAGTCTCTTTAAGTGTCCGAACTGTGGTAATAACCGCTGCTCGTTCTTTGAGCAGCAAATACGCTCAGCGGATGAGCCAACAACGAAATTTGTGACATGTTTGGAGTGTAAGAATGCATGGACTACTGAGTGAGAGGGGAAGTGAGGCGGTAAAATGTGTTTTTCTTTTAAAGAGAGAAAAAGCAAAAGGAAAGAAAAGAGAAAAAAGAAAAGATAATGAAAGAGAAGAAGAAGAAGAAGAAGAAGAAGAAGAAGAAGAAAATTAAAAAGAGAAAGAAGGATTGAGAAACTAATATAAATATATGATGATCACAATACTGGCGAAGTTTGCTTGTAATTGAACTGATAATTACACATAATTGACGTTTCTCTCCTTTTCTTTTTTTTCTCTTTTTTTTTTGTCTCTTGTAATTCTTCTCCAGTAAATATTTTCTTTTTCTCTTTGTCTTTCTTTTGTTTTTGTGTTATTCTTCTCATGATAATGAATTGTATCTACATTTCTGTTTTTGTAGAAACAGAAAGAATCTTGCTGGAGAAAGGGTGCTCTACATCTTTCGCTCTCTCTCTCTCTTTTTTTTTTTTATTTAATTTATTTTTTCCTTCTCTTTTGTTTAATAATCTTTACTTCCTTTTACAAAGTAGCGGGTCACACCAGGGTGGAGTTTTTCTTTTTTTTTCTGTTGTTGTTGTTGTTGTTGATTCTTTTACGGATTTTAAACCTGGAAAGGTGTAGGATAAAGAAACACACATACATACACACACACTTACACACATTTACACCAAAAGGACACAACTACGTCTGTACGCGTCGTTGTATTTTTTTTAAAGTAGCAATTCCTTCAGTGGACGTGGCGTTGCTTGATCAATTAGTGTGTGAACAGTGGCTGTAATTGTAGTAAAAAAAAATAAATTTTAAGTGGAACCCTCATCCACCCCCTACGCGTTTTTCTTATTGAAGAGAGAAGTCTAGAAAGAGTGTGTGGGTGAACATCAATTTCTCTTGACTGTTTACTACTCTTCCTGTACTAATCTTTCTCTTTCTCTGTGTGTGTCTGTTTGTGTTTGTACTCATTTCACCAACGAGAGAGTCTCACTTTCACAGGCCATGACGTCTCCACTCGCGCTAAACACACTTGTGTGGCTTAAGCAGCCGGGATATCCTTGGTGGCCTGGAATGGTGCTGGATCCTTCTGCAGTAGAGGTGGAGGTGCCTGCTGGATATGATACTTGTGTTTTGTGTTTACCATCCATAGCGTCCAGTGTGGCTTTTGCAAACAGCAGTAACAATGAGGAGATTATATTGTTTAATCCAGAAACGGATAAGGAGTTATTGGAAGCTGGAAAGCAAGATACAAACTGCGCTGCTGCAGTTGAAGAAGCTGTACGTGTTTATGAGCAGCAGCAGGAACAAAAACAATTGTTAATGCTAGAGCAAGATGCTGTAAAAGCAATGAATAAAGCTTCAGAAAATGAGGAAGGAAAGGAGGCAAACGAACATAAAAAGCACTCTCAAGTAAAAGAAGAAAAATCTGATAAAAAGCGACACAAGAAGCGTGAACGTGACGAGAAGCATTCTTCCGCAAAGAAGCACCACCATCATCGTAAGAGACATGGTGAAAAGCATAGTAAAAAGGAACGCAATAGTAATTATAATTATGATGATGATGATGATAACAGCGAGAATGAGTATAGCAATTCAGATGAAGATTCCCTAGATTCTTATGGAGGTGGTGATGAAAGAGATAAAAAGAGTGGGAAAAAAGCACGAAAACGGATTGATTTTGACACAGATGAACAGTATGAACGAGAAGCGAGGCTTGAGCCTCATCATCAAGAAGAAGATGCGGCGTACTTTGAACAGCGTCTCCGTGAAAACCGTCAGCGGGCTAGTGATGGTGCCCTGGAGAGGTTTCGGGAACAACTGGCATCATTAGCCGCTGCATGTACACATGGGAGTGTTATTTCTGTCAGTGAAACGGCAGAGGAACAATTGTTGGATGCCCTCTCACCCATGACAACTATAGATGTCACCTTTGATCAACTTCGCCGTACAAAGATTGGTGTTGTTGTAGGAAAGTTTCTCTCACGCGATTACCCTGTCCGTGTGGTGATGCTCGCATCTGCCATTCTCACCTATTGGTTCCGTCAACTCCCTCCCACAACGCAGCAGCAACTGCGAGCCCAGACGACATTGGAGTTAGCCTCCAACGACACTACCGTTGGTTCAGAGCGGGAGGGTCTCTCGCTTGGGGCGGTTGGCGTGCAGCTGGAGGCGACCTTCACCGATGAGGAGGTGAACGAGACGGCGACGGAGCCAACGACGATTGCCCGGCAGATTGAAAGTGAGTTGGCGGCGGTGGACGACGAGGATGTGAGCATGGCGGTCCTCGCCGTGCTGCGGGATGGCCACAACGCCGCCCTCCGCCGCGGGCTTCTCGACGGCTCCGTCAGCGCGAAGGAAGTCGTCGCCAACGCCGTGGACCCCCGCCGGCTGCTGCTGCGGCTGCAGGGCCAAAGCGGCGGGTCCTCCACGCCGGAGCCGGAGTCGCCGCTCGCGGACGGCAGTGCGCTGGAGAACTTCACAACCCTCTACGCCTGCCCGAGCTGCGGGGCCCGCGAGGCCGTCGCGAATGAGTACTCCGTGCAGGCACACGATAATATGGCGGTGTTCGTGCGGTGCCTCAAGTGCGGTGAGACGTGGAATGTGGAGGCGTAAGGGGAGAGTGTGTTAAGTGAGGGGGTGCGGGAAGTGGCGTGTTAAGAAGTGGGAAGAAGAGAAAAAAAAAAAAAAAA